AGGTGTGGCCTGCTTTGTGGGAGTGGCTTGCCAGCCATGTGACCATGTGGGAGGGACTTGCCGGCCATGTGACCGAGTGGGAATGGCTTGCCAGCCATGTGACTGGGTGGGAGTGGCTTGCCAGCCATGTGGCTGGGGGGGCAATGCCCTCTTGTAAAATGTGGTGAAACTCACTTAACAACACTCTTGCTTAGCAACCAAAATGTGGGCTCAGAAACTCTGGCATTTGAAGCACGCAAGTCTTAAAGCTGTCAAGTTACAAGACCCTTGCACCTCTAATCCTTTAGGGAAAAAAACCTTTGGAGAAAACCAAAGAGAAAAGCAACCTTGAACTAAGGAGAAATTGCCTAACAGTGAGAACAATCAACCATTGGAATGGGTTCCCTTCAGAAGTTGTGTCTGCTCCAACACTGGAGGCTTTAAAAAAAGAGACTGGAGAGCCAATTGGCTGAAATTGTATAGGGTCTCCTGCTTGAGCAGGGGATTGGACTAAATGACCTCCAAGGTCCCTTCCAACTCTGCTGTTCTATGTTCTATTTCCTCCCAACGTATTGCTTGCTTCGTTGTAATAATTAGCTCATCAGGAATGGTTATAACCCAGGAAGGTAGAGCACACTTACTATATTATTTGGAACAGCTGGAGGAGGAGCTTCCTCTGTTTTTCAGACCTCTGGCAGTTGGCAAAGATCACTGCTTGAAGGTGAACTGAGTCAGGATCCATAGTGCTTGTTGGTTTAGGCATCTTGTAAATATTACGCCATTTCCTAATCTTGGCAGCAAATAAAAGCAAAAACTGTAATATTTATTGTTGCTTTTATTGGCAATGTTGTTTTGCTCAGATTTTATTTTTGTCAATTATAAGATGCTTGCAATAATTAATGGGAAAGTAGGGATTATATTAAAATTAAAATATTACAAGCATTCAGTGGAAGAGCTCAATTATCCTCAGTAGATCCAGACTGAGGAAATTTAGACTGACTGGTGATACGTCAGCAGAAATGCTTAACTCAGAAATCAGCAACCTGTTCTCTTGTATTTATTTGAACTACATCTTCCATGTTCCCTCATCCTGTTTGGCATAATGGGAGATAAAATTAAGCATTCTGGGAGGGTACTGCTGCTGTTATATTTCTCTTCCTGGAACTCCTTTGCCATTTTAGCTAAAGATGTTGAGGGGACTATGACTTCTAGTCCTTCCCTAATCTGTGACTCTGGGCCAAGAGTGGGCTCTATTATATAAGAGCCGAGGTGGCGCAGTGGTTAGGGTGCAGTACTGCAGGCCACTTCAGCTGACTGTTATCTGTAGTTCAGTGGTTCTAATCTCACCGGCTNAATTATTTGAATCCTACCACTGCAACTAGATGACTTTGGGCCAGTCACTGTCTCTCAGGAAGATGGCAAGGGCAAACCACTTTTGAAAAATTTCCCCAAAAATTACAGGGAGTACGGTAATCTAGGTGGTCAAAGAGGACTTGAAGGCATATGCACATATTCAAAAGTATCTGTGTAGGGGAGGGACTCTTGGATTTGGTGGAAATCCAGCAATTCTAGCTGAAATCCACATATACCATCAGCATGTCGGAAATAAGGAATGGCCACTAACGTAATAGATCAAGAAAACAACCCACCAATGAAAATATGTCTTCAGAGCAACCAAATCAGGGCAGCAGTAGCTTAAAACAGCTGTGCTCCCAAGCTGCAGTAGAGCTCAACATGCATAATCAGAAACATTCTAACACAACTTTATTTTCTGAATCTTTAATTTTGGCGGTTTATCCATTGTGAAAGAAAATGAAAGAAGAACTGTAATAGAGGATTGTCCTCTAGCATCTTTTCAAATAGAAGTCTGCCTCCAGAAAATATGACACACACTAATCACTACTTAAGTACACCAACTCTATGATTATAAATTTAAAATGTAAATTTTAAATCTCAGTGTTGGAGGAAATCTGACACTTCAGCTGCTGATTACTGATTGCCAAGAAGGAAAAAGAAATATTTACTTTTATTGGTGCGAAGATCATCGTGACATATTTCATCCTCCATTTGGTTGAGATCCTTCTTTGCAGAGTTTGATTTTGTAAAATAAGGACGCCGCAGTTCACCTTGTCAATTTTACCGAGCGGCCAGGCACCAACTGCTAGTGGCAGAACAGTTTACACACCAGCTCTGGTGCCCTCTGGCCTCAATTTTCTTTTTTTCCCCTCTCTCTTTTTTTTAATGTGGTCACCTCCTCCAACCTCATTGAAATTGGGAAATTTGTTAATGATTTTTCCCTGTTCAAAAAGTCAATACTTTCACCTCCTTGCATGAATCAGTTGATTTCTAAGTGAGCAGTATTGAAAATTGTCCTGCTTTATTTTTTCCCCTTAATATTTTAATTCGAGGGGGGGGAGAAGACTTTCATGTGTCTCAGCTATGGAAACTAGTAGCTTAGGTAGCAATTGAGGAGGATGGAATCTTTTCAAGTTGTTGTGTGACAAATATGGCCCTAACTCTAAAAGGCTTGGGTATCTGATATTCAAAGAATCACCTCTTTGCCCATGTTGGACTAAGCAAGGGGTAGTCAACCTTTTTATACCTACCGCCCGTGACCTGACAAAAGGGCGAACGACAAAACCGCCCTGACTATACCGCGTTGCTAAAACCACGACGTCATCAATGCGCCAACAACAGCACATCAACAACAGCGCATCGACAGAAGGGCGATTTACAACAGCGTGTCGGCAGAAGGGCGATTTAAGTTAAGGTAAGGGTTAGGTTTAGGGTTAGGTTTAGGGTTAGGTTTAGGGTTAGGTTTAGGTTTAGGGTTAGGTTTAGCATTACGTTTAACGTTACGTTTAGCGTTACGTTTAACGTTACGTTTAGCGTTACGTTTAACGTTACGTTTAGCG